ATGAAATGAAATGAAAATGAAAAGCTTTATTTGTCCCAGGGAAGGGAAATTAGAGTTTCAGTACACACAATTCAGAGATCAGACATACTGGGCAAGACACATGACAAGAATTGGTGACTGTGGTCCTTCACAACCGAGTCGCGCCACCTTAACAGAGAGAGAAAAGGATAACATGAGGAATGGATTCGGGAGGAGGGAAAAAAAGGCATTTCACAGCTGCTCTCCCCCCAGGAGGGCAGCTTTGCTCTGCGAAAAAAACACCTCAACAGATAAGCAACAGATAACACAACATCACAATAGGAAGGCAGGGGGGCTGGGATCCTGTTTCCCCCCAGCGAGAGCAGCCATGTACAGCGCTCAACCACTGTAGTCCACAGGTGGGAGGGAGATCTTGGGAGGAAGGCAAAGCACATTGACCCTGCAGGTTGATGCAGCTTACGATTCACCTCGAGTAGCATCCCAGTCTGTGAGGTCTCTGCCCGGATGGTGCTTCCCGTGGGTGCGGGTCGCCCTCCAATCGCTCCCGTCTTCCCAAATTTCCAGAAAACCAGATATCCTCCCACTCCAATCAGAAGAAATCCAGTGATCATCAGGCCAAATATCCACACATCTTCGACGTCCTCAATGGACAGCTGAGAGAGACATACGATCCTCCACACCTTCCAGGAATCGAGCGCATATCCCGCTGCGTGTGTCGCTTGTGGGCAAGTGGGAGCCCCCTCCTCCGTTCTCATCGTAGAAAAATCTTATCAATCGCGTTGAATGACCAATTAATTAAATCCATTTCTGAAAAATAGGGATTTCCAGAAGAAATGCAGAGAAGCGCTCTGTAGGCAGACAGGACAAAGGAGCCTTGGGAAAAAAGATAAGGCAGCAAAAGCAGAAGCGTCTATACTCTGCGAGTGCGTTATCCCCATCCTTCACATTTTACCATCTCATGTCGGGGACGTAACACCTCCTCTGGGCTGTCAGTAAGGATGTGACCTTTAATTAATTCAGCCAGAACTTTATTTGAATGATTTTGGTCAGACGACAAAATCTGAAACCTGAATTTTCTGTGTAAAAAAATTTTGGTAACACATTAGTTTAGGGAACACAAATTAACCATTAATTAGCTGCCAATTAATATGCATATTAGTGGACTACTAAGTCTGAACTAGTCATTATTAAGCACTTGCTAACTGCTTATTACCAATTCTAATATTAACAGGCCATAAATTAAGAGTTTTATCATAATAAGCCATTCATACTGGTTTGTTGCCAATTAACGCACATGCTAATTAGCTCAAATCAATATGTGGCTTTTAAAGAAGTAATTCAAGGGGAATAGTTATTCTGCGTTAATAACCAAAAATATTATGTTCTAGTATTATGTAAATAAACACCAAACTCCACATGTTAATAGAGCCTAAACAATCTATTAACCACTTAAAGGCAAGAATATGTTCCCCCTTCGAAAGTCAGAGCTAACTGGTATGAGTGTTAATCAACAACAAACCATTTACTTCGAGTTAACAAACCATTATGAATGGCTTATTATGATAAAACTCTTTATTTATGGCCTGGTAATATTAGAATTACAGCATTGGTAATAAGCAGTTAATAAGTGCTTAATAATGACTAGTTCAGACTTAGTAGTCCACTAATGTGCATATTAATTGGCAGCTAATTAATGGTTAGTTTGTATTCCCTAAAGTGTTACTGAAATGATTATATAATAATTATTGATTTACCACAAATATTAGGCAAATATTTACTAAGTACCGTGATTAAACCAGAAAGACAGAATCTGAAGCAACAGCAGCCGTGTGATGATTCAGCAGACTTTGAGCTCATTTCTCATTTCTGTGGTAATAATGTGAAAACCCCGAGGACGGATGGTTAAAAATCAACCCCGAGTCAACATCGGAGCGTTTCTAAATCACAGCTCGGGTCCAGCTGCTGCTGCTCTGGTCGTTTAGTAGACACAGCAGTCTGTGCAAAAGTCTTCAGCCGACTCTCGTCTGCTTCCGCTGTGGTGATGCATCTGCAGCACGTTCACGCTGCAGATGACCGCGTGTGGCTGCAGGTGACTTTCCACTAAACACTCATGTTTTCACTTTGCTCCATAATTTTACCCCAACATTAAAAAACTAAATTGTTCTGACTCCAGGAATTTTTTTATTGTTTATTTTCTTTGTTGTTTTTTCCTCTTTGAAAAAAAAAATGGCAGAGACAAACAAAAGTTACAAGAAATAAAACCTGAAAATACCAGATCCACCAGATAAATAAAAGCAGTTTCTCCACTTTGAGGTGAAGTCTTTATTTTTATAGGTTTGATGTTTACAAACCAGAATGACGACAGAAACCTTTGTTTTCTTTACGAGAATCGGATAAATCACACAAAGACAACATCGACACATAAACCAGCAGCAGTTTTAATCAGAGCATAAACACGAATACTTAACTTATTATTAATGAGTAGATCTTGTGATTTTTTATGGAAGAGGGTCAAAGCCACTGAAAAGAAATATTATTCTGACTTTATTCTCAGAATGTGACTTTTTGTTCTCCGACATACAAATATTTATCTTTTTTTTTTTCCTTTTCAGTGGCGCTCATCCTGTTCCGTAGCTTTGACACGTCGATGTTGATGTAACCGAATAAATGAGCGGCACGTGTGATGTTATGTGACTGAAACATAAATTATAAATAAACAATGGCACAGAAACAGTTTCCTAAAAACGCTAAAACACATTTATCTAATAAACATGTCAACAAAAGGAAGATTTCTGTTTTCTCAGGAGAATGAAGGCAACTGGGTGGAGCCATGGCTTGTCTGATTAACTCTTTTATAAATGTATAAATATAGACATAGACTATATAGATCTACTGCAGCTTATGTACAGAAAAGGAGAAGAATAAAAACTCTCATGAACACAATAATTCTCTCCAGAAGTTCTGCTGCTCTGAACATCCAGCAGGTTTTAAGCTGGTAGGTTTTGAATAAACTCACGAGTGTGGTCCTGGGTTGCTGTTGGTGTTTGTGATCAAGTCACAGTCCAGTGGTTACATGGAGGGGGCGGGGCTTAAAACATCCTTCCTGTGTGTAGTACAGAGGCATTGCACCCCCCCCCCCCCCCCCCCCCGGTTGCACACATACAACTCAGCCATGTTTATTTTTTAAGGATTTTTAGAATGTATTAAGTATGGCTTCTTCTGTGTGTGTGTGTGTGTGTGTGTGTGTGTGTGTGTGTGTGTGTGTGTGTGTGTGTGTGTGTGTGTGTGTGTGTGTGTGTGTGTGTGTGTGTGTGTGTGTTTCTAGAGTTTCACAACCGTAAAAGAATGGCCACCATCAAGACAGGGATTCTCATATTCTATCTGGTGTTTGAACAAAAACCTCCCATAAACAATACAATTAAGAAAATCTAAGTATTTACTAAAGTTTTTGATCCATAAAGCAGCAGATGAAGAGTAGAACATTTGTCCTTGGCATGGATCCTACTTTCTGAAAAATAAACTGTTATTAGTGTTTTTTATTTCTTTATGATCGCTTCTAAAATTAAAACAAGGCCGATCTTAATCCGTCAAAACCTTAATAACTGATTTATAACTACTTATAAAATAAAATAGGCTGATTTTAATCCTTCAAAACCTTAATAACTGATTTATAACCACTTCTACAATAAAAAAGGCTGATTTTAATCCTTCAAAGCATTAATGACTGATTTATAATCACTTCTAAAATTAAAACAAGGCTGATCTTAATCCGTCAAAACCTTAACTGATTTATAACTACTTCTAAAATAAAAAAGGCAGATCATAATCATTCAAATCCTTAATAACTGATTTATAATCACTTCTAAAATTAAAAATGGCTGATTTTAATCATTCAAAGCCTTAATAACTGACTTATAATCACTTCTAAAATATAAATGGCTGATTTTAGTCCCTCAAAGCCATAATAAATTATTTATAATCACTTCTATAATAAAAAGGCAGATTTTAATCATTCAAAGCCTTAATAACTGATTTATAATCACTTCTAAAATTAAGACAAGGCTGATCTTAATCCGTCAAAACCTTAATAACTGATTTATAACTACTTATAAAATAAAATAGGCTTATTTTAATCCTTCAAAATCTTAATAACTGATTTATAACGACTTCTAAAATAAAAAAGGCAGATCATAATCATTCAAATCCTTAATAACTGATTTATAATCACTTCTAAAATTAAAAATGGCTGATTTTAATCATTCAAAGCCTTAATAACTGACTTATAATCACTTCTAAAATATAAATGGCTGATTTTAGTCCCTCAAAGCCTTAATAAGTTATTTATAATCACTTCTAAATAGAAGGCAGATTTTAATCATTCAAAGCCTTAATAACTGATATATAATCACTTCTAAAATTAAAAACGGCTGATTTTAATAATTCAAAGTCTTAATAACTGATTTATAACCACTTCTAAACTAAACAGGCTGATTTTAATCCTTCAAACCCTTAATAACTGACTTATAATCACATCTAAAAATAAAACAGGCTGATTTTAATCCTTTAAAGCCTTAATAACTGATTTATAATCACATCTAAAATAAAGGCAGATTTTAATCATTCAAAGTCTTAATAACCGATTTATAATCACATCTAAAAATAAAACAGGCTGATTTTAATCCTTTAAAGCCTTAATAACTGATTTATAATCACATCTAAAATAAAAAGGCATATTTTAATCATTCAAAGTCTTAATAACTGACTTATAATCACATCTAAAAATAAAATAGGCTGATTTTAATCCTTTAAAGCCTTAATAACTGATTTATAATCACATCTAAAATAAAGGCAGATTTTAATCATTCAAAGTCTTAATAACCGATTTATAATCACATCTAAAAATAAAACAGACTGATTTTAATCCTTTAAAGCCTTAATAACTGATTTTTCTCCATCACAGTACAACCAGATAAAACAAAAAGACAAAACAAGCAGCTGGAATGACGACAGAACACAGAACATGAAGAATAATCCTGTTTTTGTTTTATTGCACCACCTAATGAGAAGCCTGTGTTTCAGACCTGCTCCTGTTTAAAGCACACAGAAAATAACCAAGTAGATACTCAACAACATGCAGCTGGACAGAAAAGCAGACAGACGAGGACCCTTGGAAGCTCCGTCAGCAGCAGCTGTGGCAATGAGAGGTGGCGTCTAACGCTGTTCAAACACCCTACTGCTTCAGACGTTAACATTTCACTTGTTTCAGTTCCATCAGAATGTACAAATGAGATAAGGAGTAAATGTTTGGTTTTTGCATTTCTACAGGACTCCTTCGAGGGTGAATGCAACTGGATGAGTCATTTTATTCACCAGTTTGTCTTCTGAACTTGGACACAGGCAAACTGAATGTTTTAAACGTAAATTGTCGTCTTTCTGTTGTAAACCAGGGTCTAACAGCTCGGGTCACTGACTAATTCCTGAAGCTTTAGGACTAAAACCACTAACGCAGAGCCAACACACCGTTTTTATTGCCACAACTCCTCCTGACTCATCTGGATTCTGCTGTTCAGACGTGAAGCTTCAGGTCACACGCACACACACACACACACACACACACACACACACACACACACACACACACACACACACACACACACACACACACACCTTAACATTTACATCACAGGCACAGAAATGGCGCCAGACAAACACGCATGGTTTGGTCTTTAGGTTCATAACACTACGACGTCAGCAGGGATAAAACATGGAGGCTAAGATGGTTTTAACACATCCTTCAGAGTTTAATCAGCTCAAGTTTCAGACCTTCTATTACCCGTTTCATTACCATTAGCTCACACGTTCACACGCAGCCGTTTTAGGTTGTGCTTCTCTTCTAACTACATTTGCTCTCCATGTAAGCCTTTGATCTAAATAACGTACATCCTCCACCACATTTTCACCAAAGTAACAGAAAAGGCCACTTTTCTAGGTTCCTTTGCTACCAAAGCAGGACAAAAACAAGAAGATCTGCTGGGATGAAGCAGCACGGTGAGCAGCCGTGAGGGTGAGGTTCATTTACGTTGTGCAAATATTTCTCAGAGGCAGCACGGACTTCTTCAGCTAAGTCTTCTAAACTCACACTTTTGTTCAGGAACAAGCTGTTGTGGATAAACCAGTTTTTCCTTTTTCCTCATTTAAGCTCCAATAATCTATTTCTGGCTTCTTCTTGCAAAACACACAGAAAACTGAATTCATCAAACAGAATAATAGAGAATATAAATGTTTTCATTAGGTTAGTGTTTTCTGATCTAATCCAGCCACTAGAAAGGCAGCATCATCATCATGTGGACAACCCATGAGAATATTTTATGATTGTATTTTTTTTTCCATTGAACCATTAAGGAGTTCAAATGTAAATGTATTTTAGTAGCTGACGATCACTTGATTCTGTCTGGTGAATAAATATCAAGAATACAAGGGCTACAATCCCTGGAAATGTTTATGAAAGATATATTTAAAATAGGGGGCCGAGTACACAAACCTGTGGAGCTCCAGATTTACATTTGAATCGATCTACCAGCATGAGTCGGTGTCAATATTGAGGCTTTAAGTTGTGCTTTCTTTAACTTTTATGGTCTTCAGCTTGATTTTATTTTCTCCCATTTTAATAGGAAAAGCCAAAAGGAAGTCAGCTAGCATGAGGACTAATAATATAGACAATTCTCTAAAACTTGACAGGTCAAATTATAATATTTATGCTTTTTTGTGGAAGAGTACTGATTTCTGCAGACAACTTAGTTCTCTCCAGAATGTAAATGTCCACCTGGACAATAGGCAACAGGGTAAATATAAACTACAGTGGGCTGAGTACACATCCATGTGGAACTCCCAATGACAGAACCATTATTACACTGAGTTAGTGCTAATGCTGAGGTGCTCTGTTGTAGTCATTGCAGCTTTTTTATTTCTGTACTATGATTTTACTTGCTCCCATTTATCTGTAAGAGAAGTCAAGAGGAAGGAAGCCATCTTGACTCAAGAAGGACCCCACTGAGCATGCTCAGAAGGCCCAGAACTGCGAAGAAGAAGCTTTTCAGAACTTCAAAAGCCGCTCTGTGTTTGAAAACGAGGAAAACTGAATCCCTCCTGGCTTTTCAACGCGAACGATCCAAAACAAGACAAGAATATTAACAGCACAGCATTTTTGTATATTGCTGTTAACGTGTGCAATTCTAGCCGTTCATGTGTAATCTCTCTTAAATGTGCATAGCCGCTCGTACGCGTAAGCCTGGAATGAGCATCTAACCGTTTAAGCCACGGTCGGTGAGAAGGCGAAGGATATTTGTGCAGGGGTGGCATTAATGCATTTAGAAGAAAAGAAAAAGGCAAATGAAATACAAAGCATTTAAATACAAATTGTTCCTGCTTTTATGTAAACGAAAGCTTTTATCATAAACTATGTCAGTCTTTATGATTGTGTCCTATAAATACACATATTCCTATAATAACCCGCTAGAGAAAAGGCCAAGAGCCCTTCACAAAGATTGTTCTTCAACTAAAAAGTTTCTTTTTCACACAAAGAAAAACGCGTTAAAGCTGAAATAAAGCACCCAGAACTCTTGTGACCCGCCATGTGTTGGTTTTTAGTCGGACTTGTTTCTTCTGCTTGTGCCGTTAATGCTCTAGCACGAGCATCCTATCGGGATCCTTCCCAGACGCCGTTATAACCCGTTAAAGAAGATTAATCAACATAAAAAACACAAAGGAGGAAAATCCTCGAGTCCTTAGCATCCCGACACACCTTCGTTGGTCCGCTAGCACCGGCCCGGCAGACAGCAGCAGTCTGAGCCGTCTCTTGAGTATTATGGGGTGCTGACAGGTGATCCTTTCAGGCTCTTGAGAGCAGCATGGATCCGGAAGTGCAATCTGGACTCCATGGAGTAGTCCTTGTAGTTCATCCTGGAGACAAAACCAAAGTGTTCCACCTTTAAATAGTCAGCCTGAAGACGTTCATCAGTCGTCACAAAGCCCCGCCCTCTAAAGCAGTCCTGACAGAGGGACTCCGGTTTTCCAGGGACACCTGGAGAGAGACACTTAAGCCTGTGATTAAAGGAACAACAGATCCAGGGGTGACACACACCTACAGGTTAGACAGGTGAGTCACAACAGAGCACTCCGGTGCACAGAAGAACTACATGAGAACCGTAAACGGAGCAGACTCTGGTGGGCAAAGGTCGTAAATAATAAATAAGGTCAGCTTTGGGAGGATTCCCAGAAGTATGAGATAAGATGGGTGTGTGTGTAGATAAACTAACCTGGACAGGGGTGTTTTCTATAAATAAAGGTGTGTAAGGCGTGTGCAGGTGCGACAGGTGAGGCGGAGTCAGACATACTTGGCGTTTTCGATGTAAGAGGCGGCCTTGGTGAAGTCTCCCTGTTGTTTGTACAGCAGACCCAGTTCATAGAGCGTGAAGGGGATCAAGTAGTGATCGTATCTGATCCGGCTCTCACTGTTAGAACACACACACACACACACACACACACACACACACACACACACACACACACACATTATAAAAACAGTAGTTGTTGCTACCTAAACCAGACGTAACCTTGTTATTCCTGTGTGTGTGTGTGTGTGTGTGTGTGTGTGTGTGTGTGTGTGTGTGTGTGTGTGTGTGTGTGTGTGTGTGTGTGTGTGTGTGTGTGTGTGTGTGTGTGTGTGTGTGTGTATGTGTGTGTGTGTGTGCGTTACCTGGACAACACCTGTGTGAAGCAGAGCTCAGCCTGCAGTAACCTGCCCAGGTGCTTCAGGCAGAGGCCCTTCAGCATCTGGACCAGGCTGCTGTCATCTGGGTGAAACTCGGATGGGTCTGAACAGAAAACGCGTATCAAACAGAAGCTAACACCATAGCACGCTAACAGATGCTGACTCATCTTTTATCCTGGCCACAACAGATAAGATCATAAAGATGGTTCCTACCTCCACATCTACACATCCTTCAGAATCCCAGATTTTCATCAGTAACTTCAGTAAAACATGGAAGTGGTTTCAGTGATTTTATATTTTGTAAACAAATCTTTTAGCAGGATACTAGGCAGTTTTGCTTGCTTTTAGCACCCCCTAGTGTCTGTTTGTTGAAGCTAAACTATCTCCTTGCTGTGTGTTCATCTTTTTAACACCTTGATCTAACAGCTGAAGCGTCTCCCTGCGTTCCTACGTGTCTACAGAAGCGGTTCACCTCTAAATGAAACAAATCAGCTGGGTTAACCATATGAACATGCAGGAAAGTCCCAGCAGACTGGACCAGCAGGGGTCGATGGAGGCTGGGTAGCCTTTCATTAACCCTGTAGTGGGTCATTTTAGCACATGCTGGCTCGAGAAAATGATTTAAAAATATGAAAAAGTTGCAAATTGTCCCTTTAAAGTGTTTTATTCCTCTGTATAAAGGCATCTGATTATTGCTGACAAATGTATGAAGTAATAACACCTTTTGATCCACGTTTAAACTAAAACCCAGATTTATAAACCGGACCGAACACAGGACCCTGTGGGACTCCAGACTGAGGAGCTTACTGGGGTCATCACGAAGCTGCTGCTCAGCTCGCTCCACAGAAACCAGGAGAGACTCGGTGAAATCCGCTCGTTTCCCAACGATATTGAAACCGTTCCAGACGTACATCATCTCCTGAAACACAGAAACATTCCCGTGACGTCGCCTAGCCAGGTAAAGCAGCTGCTAGTCCCACGCTGGGTGACGTGTGTGGTACCAGAGCAGGGATGACCAGAGGGACCGGGTTGGCAGCTTTGTAGCGTCTGGACTTCCTTACGGCAAACTTCTCCATCGGGATGGACTTTCCCGCCAGTCGCTGTTTGAGTCCCTCCACCTGCCTGCACACAAATACACCTTTACACCTGTGTAAACCCCGCCCCCTCCCAACCAAGACCAAATAAACAAAATAGCCAAGCTGCTTATTTAACTAATAGTTTTATCATTTCTTTATTTAACAAAGAAACATTTATAAATGTCTTTTGAGGTTTTTTTTTTCCAAAACATTTATTTAATAATTCCTTTTTCCCACAAAAACACTCCTATCTTCCTAAATGAGTCCTTTTCCTGTTCCAGCTTTAAAGCTCCCAAACCCGGGCGCATGAGTGTGCTACTAATGCGACCAGGTGGACACAGGTAGTGAGTGATGCCGTTTCTAAGTGAAACGAGGAGACTTTATGACCTGAAGAGCTCCATGATGTCCTCGCCCGTCTTCTTCACCTCCTCCTCTGGCATCATGCTCAGGATGGCTGCCTTCTGGTACACATAGATGGCCTGTAGGAGCACAAAGGAGCCCTCGTAACAGACTTCTTCTAATCCTAATGATGACGATCGCCTGGATGGGAGATGCTCACCTTGGACCAGCGGCTCTCTTTGCACAGCAGGTCAGCGTACTGGTACGCCTGCGGCCACTCCTGCTGGAAGGTGTGGGTCCACATCAGCTCCCAGTAACACAGGTGGTGGATCTGCTTCCACTCCTGCTGGCTGCTGATGCACTCCTCGTACCTGGCCCGGGCCTAAAAACACACACGAAGAGCAGCGCTAGACAGAATCGGCCAGAGAGAGGAGAGAAAGCAGCGCTAGAATAAAATAATAAATCAGCGTAAAATAATCATCAGAGTGGCCAACAGAAGTAATAAATGCAGTAAACATTTAAATAAATAAATAAATAAAAAATTGAAAATATATGTTGTTTTAAGTGTTAAGAATTTTGTTGAATATGGTGAACAATGTAAATGTATGACAGAAGGAAAATATTTCAAAATAAGACGACTTTAAAAAACACACAATTCTAATATTAACTCATTCACTGCCAATGACGTCATTGGCATTTTTTTACTGTATGGGCGTCGGACGAGCCCCCACACCGTGAGAACAATCATCTCAGCTCTAAAGCCGATCTTCATCCGCATACGTCACACGTCACATGATCAGGAAGCAGAACATCCATGTGTTAGGAGATCGTTTTGGGCCGCTGCTATAAAAAAAAGTGAGGCACGAACCGGAAAAGCTTCTGCCGATCGCAATTCAACAACGGATTATGAAAGAACGGATAACGCTCGAAACGCGCGGATTCTTCCTGATGTAAGAGGTGAGTCTCCGCTTTGTTTTGGTTGTTTTGGCGTCAACATCATCCTAGCGCACAACGTTCTGTCACTCTAAACACAAAAACAGTAAAAACGGTGAGAAACGCTGGCAGCGAAGGGCTTTACTGATCAGGAAACGGCCGGCAGCGAATGAGTTACAAAGCAAAAACCGACATTAAGCCGCACATTCAGACATCAGAGACAAAAAATACGATTTTTTTTCCTATTTTGTAAAATTAAAGTATATTACATCTAACTGATATGTTATTACTTTAATTCCTTTTTCACATGTTTTAGAAACATATTTTTATTCCTAAAAGATTAGGAGGCAGAAACATGCAGGAACATTATTTAAGATACAAACGATGTAAAATGAGAGAATTTTGATGTTTTCAATCATTTCATGTATTTTTAATTAAATTAACACTAGCTACATTTTCTTTATATTGCATGTGTGAATGTGTTTAAGGTGTGTGTGTGTGTGTGTGTGTGTGTGTGTGTGTGTGTGTGTGTGTGTGTGTGTGTGTGTGTGTGTGTGTGTGTGTGTGTGTGTGTGTGTGTGTGTGTGAAGGGGGTTAAAATAACAAACCTTCTCAAAGTTTCCTCGTAGGGTGGCGATACGGGCAGAGTAGAAGAGGATTATAGAGCCCTTCAAAACAAAAGCCTGTAATTACTTGCTGATTTTAGGTTTTCCTACTAGAATAGTTATTTGTATTCTCCCTTTAACTCCCGTCTGTGCCTCTGAGTTTGTGGTCGACGTACTTTAGGGTATTTCTCTTGGTACGGCTCCAGCAAGGCTTCGGCCTCCACCAGGTTCCCCTCCCCCGTTCCTTGTAAAAAATGTGAAACAGCTATTTTAATGTACATAAGCTAAGGTAGGACATGAGGGAAACAAGCCGACGTTCCTACCCAGGATCAAAGAGACAAACGTGTGGTAGAAGAGCAAAGTCAGCACACACAGGATGGAGCGTAGACTCTGGTTGGCCGCTCCCTCTCTCAGCTGGGATAAACCAAAACTCTACAAACAACAAAGATTTATCACGTTTTACCGAGTCCACCTTTCTGCATGCTCTTCACACAGCAAGAGGTACTGACCCGGTTTCCTGAGAACCCAATGAACTCCAACAACCTGAGAATCCTCTGAGGAAGAAGAGACAGCATCTGAGGGACAGAAATCGCACGACGGTCAAAAGGGAATCAGTGTGTGTGTTTGCCAGTATGCTGATGATGCGCCGCTATTATAGCCCAAATAATCAGTCCTACAGAACATCAGCTGATGGTCCTGAACCCTTCTGGAAACCCACCAGGTTGAAGGAGCCGATGCCCAGCTTGACTCCACCCTCAAACTGTTGGAATGGACTAGACGAGCCCGCTGTGTCCTGAGCCACGCTCAGGACATTCTGGCAATCCCTGTGAAGTTACGGTGAGGAGTTAACAAAACCTCCACATCTTCAAGCGTTTCACATCATTAAAGTCACTCACTTGTAGATCTGGTAGCTTGTTCGAATCTTGATGCCTCCTTTAATGAAACTGATCATGTTCTCATCCTGGATAACACACACTAATAATTACACACATGACCAACACCAGCTCCTAAAGACGCTTCTCAGCCAACAAACCCAAATCTGAAACATGTCGGGGACTTTTCTACACAACCAAAGTTGTGGATTTGATGCATTTTCTAAAATAAAAAGCAAAAAGGCACACATGTATTTTAGGGAGTGAATTTAATTGATATCAGATCTCTGCTTTAGTGTGGATTAGATTTGATGCAATGTTCTAAAGCAGATTATTGTTGCCTCAGATTAACAGACAGAATCCAGCGTCCATGACAGGAAATGCATGATAAAACTAAAACAACAACCAAATGTCAGGTAGACAAACATGACTCTGACCTGCACGAACGTCAGCGTAGCTTTCTGCAGGAGACACTCGGCGTAGCAGAGCTCAGCATGCATCTCCTCTGTAAACACACCAACACACATCTCAGCGGGTTTACGTTACTCGCTGAGTAAACGCTTCTTTCACAGGGACACCCACCTTCCTGCAGGTTGGACTGTTTGCTGATCAGACTGGACAGAGACCCAACCACTGAGTTTCTCTTTCTGAACCTGCAGAAACCCGGATAATTATACTCGGAGTGCATCATCGTTTATATGGGAAGTAAATCAGAAGAATGCAGGGCTGAGTGTTGAGCCCTGTGGAACTCCAGACTGAATTCACGGATCTACTTTAGTTTTACTGAGGTTGATGAAAGAGATTTTATTTTATTAAGATTGTTTTAGTTTTAAAACAGACAGAAAAACATATTCATGTATTTAACCACACGATGGCCTTGCACTACATGTAGTACTGCTCGTAGTACTGGTAAAAGGGAAATGTGGGGAGTGTAAGCTGCTGTGGACCATCTGATGTTCTGAGCTCATTACTGATGATTTATGGACCCTACCAAACATGGGCAGATGTTCGTCCTGCTAATCAGATCAAACTACAGTAAAATCCTCCAACAACGGTAACAGGAGTGAACAAAGCTGAGAGCGAACCTCTGGCAGGTCTGCAGTGCCTCTTTGATGGTTGCCATGGCAGTCTGGATGTCTTTGTGCTCAAACGTCATGGTGGCCTGCATCACCAGGATGCTGCTGTAACCCAACGCGTGGTACATGCTGTCCTTCCACCTGCACACAACCAGAGCACAAGTTAGCAGTCAGAACCAGAACCAGGTCCACCAGAGATGGAGCTACAGGCAGAAACAGCATAGGGATCAATGTGTCGCCATGGTTACCAGGGTTTGAGAAGGTCGAGGGCCTGAGAGAACTTGTTGTTGAGGACCAGGTTGAGGGCACACTGGGTCTCCTGGATGGCAGTCTGCAGGTCCATGCGGCATGTCCTACACACACACACACACACACACACACACAGACTTAAGTGAACCAATTAAAATAGGAAGCAGGAGGAAGAGTCATCTTACTTCATCATTCAATTCTCACAGCACTTAGGAATGGGAATGTGTGTGTGTGTGTGCGTGTGCGTGTGCGCGTGCGTGTGTGTGTACTCACGATGGTATCCGATCAAAAGCATCCTCGAAGCATTCCTGAAACAGAAGACAGGTTCAGGCTTCTCCAGGCGACAAACATCATCTTTAGTTTGATTTCATGTCGTTTTAGTTGAAAGCAGAAAAGCATCTAGACCCACGGGTCCCAGCAGAACCAGAACACAGGGCGACTCATCAGAAACGTTCGCGGCAGCCTCTCATCCAGAGCAGGAAGTCATTAATAAATATAATAAATAATGCAAAAATAACAAGTACACATGTCTACAACACTATAATACACGTATTTATACAAGTTACCAGCAAAATCAGGTGGATTTTGGTGTGACTTGCATTTAAATAAAGGTTTAAGAACACGTCTGCTGCTGGAGCGGAGGCCTCTCGTACGCACGTTCCTCCTCAACCGTCTGATGATAGCCCCACCTGTGCTACCCAGATGTTCGTGTATGTCAGATGAAACTCTCATCACGCTCATCAGATATCTTAACTCCCTCTGTTTTAGTCGGGTCCCTTGCCTCTATCAGTCCATCTCTGTTGACTATGATCAACAGCTCACTGAGCCAAGGCTGTGTTCCATCTTACTTTAAAAATGCAGTAGTGACTCCTCTCTTAAAGAAACCCAACCTTGACGCCAGCTCCACCAGTAACTTTAGGCCCATTTCTAAGCTACCTTTCATCAGCAAAGTACTTGAGAAGGTTGTTGAAACCCAACTCAGATCCTGGTTTTCTAAGTCAAAGATCTCTGACCCCTTCCAGTCTGGCTTTCTGAAGCAGCACTCAACTGAGACTGCTCTAGTAAGGGTGCATAATGACCTCCTGATGGCTGCTGATGCAGGGAAATGCTCTGTCATGGTCCTGCTTGACCTCAGTGCAGCTTTTGTCACTGCAGACCACAACGTTCTACTAAACAGGTTAAAGGCCCTGGCTGGGATTTCAGGTTCTGCTCTAGACTGGCTCTCTTCCTATCTCACTAACAGAACATTCACAGTGAAGTCTGAAACCTTCTCTTCAGATACTGCCTCTCTAACATGCGGGGTTCCACAAGGTTCAGTTCTAGGGCCTCTACTATTCGCATTCTATATTCTTCCCCTAGCTGGCATCATTCAATCTTTCCCAGACATCTCCTACCACATCTACGCTGATGATATTCAGCTCTATATGTCCTTTATGCCACACCAGTTGGACAGGCTGGCCACACTTGTACTCTGCCTGACCCAGATCAGTAACTGGCTGTCCAGCAACTTTCTTGTCCTCAATGCTAACAAGACAGAGACCCTGATCGCTGCACCCCCGGAACTTCAGCCAAAAATCGAGCAAGAAATTGCCTCTTTTTGCCCATCAGCCAAGGCCAACATTAGAAACAAAGGAGTTATTTTTGATCCAGCTATAAGTTTAGACTCACACGTCAAAACCATCTCCCGCTCTTGTTTCTTTCAACTGAGAAACATTTCAAAAGTCCGTAAACTGGTTTCTACTGCAGATATGGAAATAATCATCCATGCATTTGTGTCATCACGCTTAGACTACTGTAACACTCTTTTTACTGGTCTCAGCAAAACCTCCCTCTCACGCCTTCAAGCCATCCAAAATGCAGCAGCCAGACTCCTAACCAAATCCAGCAGACGAGCTCATATCACTCCAGGTTTACAGTCCCTCCACTGGCTCCCGGTAGAATATAGAATACAGTTTAAAGTTTTAGTCCTGACCTATAGAGCTCTTAACAACCAGGCTCCAAGCTACCTATCTGAGCTTTTATCCCCACACACCACCTCACGGAACCTTAGATCCACATCTGAAAACCTCCTGGCTGTTCCTCGAACCAGACTGAAAACCAAAGGGGACAGGGCCTTTCAGACTATTGCACCCAGACTTTGGAACAGTCTACCTTCAAATCTCCGTCTCTCTAACACTGTAGAGGTCTTTAAAAATCATCTAAAAACTCACCTTTTCATCCAGGCGTTCCCTCCCTAAATGTTTCAGAAAGATGGCTTTGTTCGGGTTCACACCTTCACTTTGTTTATACTCATGATTTTATTTTCTACGTTTATCACTGCTATTGTTTTTCTGATGTTTTTATTGGTTAGAGGTATTTGCCCTGATCTTTATCATGTTGTACAGCGCTTTGTGATTTATATCTGTGAAAGGCGCTATATAAATAAACTTTTACTTACTTACTTTACTTTACTTCTCAGTCATTTACATACAGAAACGCCTTCAATGACCATATTTGGTCATGCTATGTCCTCAGCACGTGAGGGTTGCCTGGGTTTTTCTCTGCGGGTTCGCTGCTGCTGTTATTTTACACACTATCATCCCTGCTGGCTTCACCGGTCTGGTTTGAGTCGTACACCACTCTGGGGCGCGCTCCGTGTCTGCAAGGTGCTTTATAAATAAAGTTTGATTTGATTTCTGCCAACAAAGAAAACTTTAGCGGCAGTAAAATGGAGACTCTGGCTGCTGAAGTGTCAGAGGTTCTAAACGCGGGCAGGACAGAGGACATGTGACCTTTGACCCTGCTCTCACCCTGGATCCTCATGTCAGTTCTCTTGTTCGTTCTTCCTTCTTCCCGCTCTGAACCTCCACACCTTCACCTCCTCACGCTCGGACAGCTGCAGCTCTCTTTTCACTTCATTAGACTTCTCTGCTGTTTTTGTGACTTTATTAAAGATCGTGTTCCGTCTTTCTTTAAAAACAGAATCTGGTAAACGGTGGAGTAACGGGTTGACGTGCTTGGAGCTTTATTGGCCCTGACCCTGACCACAGCACATGTGGTTCTGACTGGTTTGATGCAAAAAGCTGTTTTTCCCAACATAATTACTTTCTGGGTAAAATACTTGACGGATGAGGAACATGTGGACGACCTTCAGTACCATCGTTCTGCCACTAGATGGTGCTCCTCCACACGGTCTGAGCTGTAGGAACATTTCTACACACAAGCCCAAAGTGAAGAACACCACACACGTGTACACGAGTTCCTACACACAACATACGTGTGTGCGGTTGATGAACGACGGCCCAGGTGAGGCGGGGGTGTGGTCTGAAGGCTTTCATCAGCATCACACCTGTCACCTTTCCCGTTTTGGGCTGGAGACCGGTCTAAAAACTGTCAAGTACTTTACTCCTCATTCCCACCATCTTCACAATTTACTGTTCTCCTAAAAAGTTCTGGTACCGAGTTCATTCATGGAGAACCCCCCCCCCCCCAGAGAGGCTGGGCTCCAGCAGCACCTCCTGTTCCCAGGCTCCTGAGTGTTTTATCTCCTAAACTAGCAGGATGACCAGAACCCGTCTGCCGGCGCTCCTCCTCGGGAACATCCACACGACGCTCACCTCCACTGACTCGTGATGTAGGAGGTGGATCTAATGTGACACGACCGCTCAGACTCCACATATGAAGGTGACCTGGATCAGACCTGACCCGACCGAGGCTGTTCGGGTAACTATAAACTAGATCATCCGTATTTACATCACTCTTAGGCAGAAACAAGCTTCAGACGCTGGAATGTCCCTTTAAAGGCCTCTGTGTGTGTGTGTGTGTGTGTGTGTGTGTGTGTGTGTGTGTGTGTGTGTGTGTGTGTGTGTGTGTGTGTGTGTGTGTGTGTGTGTGTGTGTGTGTGTGTGTGTGTGTGTGCGTGTGCGTGTGTGTGTGTCCTCACAAACAGGCTAATAATAGCAGCCCAGTGGCTGCTTACATAATTACATCCAGCTGCAGTTTCACACACACGTGAGCCGGAGTCTGAACTACGGGCATGTTCCTAGTTAACTCTAACACTTCCTGTTGGTTAACCCGAACCATCACTAACCCTGACTGACCCCAACTAGCCTCAGAGGGACTGGTGTGTTTGTTAGAACACGGATCCCTAAAGAACCAGAGATGCATTAAAGCATGAGGTCGGAATAAAAAGGTCCTGATCAATAAACACACACACACACACACACACACACGTGTGTGTGTGTGTGTGTGTGTGTGTGTGTGGTCAGACACAAGCTCTGTTCCATCAGAGCTTCTCCAGTAACGACCTTCATTATTAATGGATCAGCTGCTTTGTGTTACCAGTACCTGTTCAGGAGAACTACCTGATGGGTAAAATGTCCCAGTGAGACCAGATGGACCAGTGAGACCAGATGGACCAGTGAGACCAGATGGACCAGTGAGACCAGATAGGCCTGTGAGACCCAGATGGACCAGTGAGACCAAATGGACCAGTGAGACCCAGATGGACCAGTGAGACCAGATGGACCAGTGAGACCCAGATGGACCAGTGAGACCAGATGGACCAGTGAGACCAGATGGACCAGTGAGACCGGATAGACCAGTGAGACCAGATGGACCTGTGAGACCAGATGGACCAGTGAGACCAGATGGACCAGTGAGACCCAGATGGACCAGTGAGACCAGATGGACCAGTGAGACCAAATAGACCTGTGAGACCAGATGGACCAGTGAGACCAGATAGACCAGTGAGACCAGATGGACCAGTGAGACCAGATGGACCAGTGAGACCCAGATGGACCAGTGAGACCAAATGGACCAGTGAGACCCAGATGGACCAGTGAGACCAGATGGACCAGTGAGACCAAATAGACCTGTGAGTCCAGATGGACCAGTGAGACCAAATGGACCAGTGAGACCAGATGTACCAGTGAGACCAAATAGACCTGTGAGACCAGATGGACCAGTGAGACCAGATGGACCAGTGAGACCAAATGGACCAGTGAGACCAGATGGACAAGTGAGACCAGATGGACCAGTGAGACCAGATGGACCAGTGAGACCAGATAGACCAGTGAGACCAAATGGACCAGTGAGACCAGATAGACCAGTGAGACCAAATGGACCAGTGAGACCAGATAGACCAGTGAGACCAGATAGACCAGTGAGACCCAGATGGACCAGTGAGACCAAATGGACCAGTGAGACCCAGATGGACCAGTGAGACCAAATAGACCTGTGAGACCAGATGGACCAGTGAGACCAAATGGACCAGTGAGACCAGATGGACCAGTGAGACCAAATAGACCTGTGAGACCAGATGGACCAG